AAATGCACAAATAGTATTTGTAAAGCCAGCTCAATGCCCATGCTAGACCCAGGCCATGCTAGTGTGTACAAGTGTGCAAATCTGGCTGGTTATAAACAACTTTAGCTATGAGAAATAAGACTTTGGACACCGTATGCCTGAAGTCTTTAGAATAATTATTTGTTTAGCGAGTAGAAAACAATGAAACTTTTGAATTGAAAAGGAAAAAACTTTAGCGATGGATGCTTCCCCAGTGGGGTAACTTGTCCTTTCCCCATATGACGGGGAGAGCACGAAACATGCGGCGACGGTGTCCCATGTTCCACAGGGCCCCACCTGGCAGAGCCAGGCTGTGGTGGTGCCCTCCCACTAGAACGGCCGCCTGGCTGCAACATGCCGGGCAGCACTGAGCACTTGAGCTCAGCATTCATTATAGACAGACTACGTTACCCCTTGACTGGCCTTGCCAACCATTAATGGCCCAAATATTGCTGTGTTATTGAAATTATGAAAAGCGTTCCAAACTAAATAATTTCCTGCTCCTGAACTGTCTTCTGCAGTGATACACTTCTAGAAAGACTATGCCAGCTGATTTTCCTAAAGTGATTCATCCCCACATTCAAGGCAACAGGTTCTTCTGCTTCAGCAATCAGAGGCTGTGTTTTCCAGTGCAGCCTAAATGAGAAGGGCCCACAATGGCCTGCCAGCATGAGTGCTAATACTTTCTCAAATGAAAACTGTTAAGATTACCGAGACTGAAGGGCTTCCCGCCAGCCGGATATTTTCACTGACTAATTTTAGCAGTCTGAGAAATCTAGCGTCATCATATTCAAATCGCTTGCCAAGTAGTATAGACACTATAATATTCGAAACAGCTGCATTCGTAATTGTAGTGCCTTCAACGGGTTTTCCTGTAACACAAACATTACAATTATGTTTGTAATTTTTACAATCTTTTTACAATATTACAATTGTAATATTACAATATGGCCCGACCCATGAACGTGGTCACACACTGGACCTGATTTTCTCGATGGGGCAGGAAGGGGGTGATCTGAGGGTGAGGAATTTGTGTCTGACACCCCTGTCATGGTCAGATCACTTCCTCATGAGGTTTGAGCTCGAGAGCGGCCTTTCCCTTCTTAAGGGTGTGGACCTGATTGCGTTGGTCCGCCCCTGGAGCCAGATGGATCCGGAAGGCTTCCTGAAGGCCCTGGGGGAATTTCCGGTTGACAAGACTGGTGCTCCTGTCGAGGCTCTGGTTGAACTATGGAATGAAGACATGACCAGGGCTATTGACACGATTGCTCTACATCCGCCGGGCAGAGCCCACTCTTCCCCTTGGTATACACCTGAATTGCGGGCGATGAAGCGGGTTGAGATACGTCCAGAGTGTAGGTGGAGGAGATCACAGGATGAATCTGACCAAACACACTTAAGAGCCCATTATCGGGCCTATGCTGTGGCAGTGAGGGCGGCGAAAAAGAAATTCTTCTCCATTTCCATTGCCTCCTCACAATGCCGTCCAGTGGAGCTCTTTCAGGTGGTACAAGGGCTGGTTCATCCTGGCCCTAAGAAAGACCCTGTACCGCCCTCGAAGGCCCACTGTGACGACTTTGCCAAGCATTTTAAGGAGAAAATCGCTCAGATTCGTCACGAGCTAGACTCCACTAGTGATTCAGAGCCTTTAGAGGAGGTGTCAATGTTGCCATCTGGTCCAAAATTGATGGATGAGTTTCAGTTATTGCGGCCTGAGGATGTGGACAACATGCTTGGACAAGTACGTCCCACCACCTGCTTATTGGACCCTTGCCCATCTTGGCTACTTAGCAACGCCAAGCATGGGATAGGGACCTGGATCCTGGAGGTGGTCAATGCCTCTCTGAGGGATGGCCGGGTACCTGTCCCTTCAAAGGAAGCAGTAGACTGACCAGTCCTAAAGAAGGCATTCCTGGATCCAGAGATGGCCACCAATTATAGACCGGTGGCCAACATCCCATTTTTGGGCAAGGTGTTGGGGCAGGTGGTGGTGGGACAACTCCAAGCACTCTTGGATGGAACTAATTATCTGGTCCCATTTCAGTCTGGCTTCAGACCCGGGTACGGTACTGAATCTACCTTGGTCGCCCTGTATGATGACCTGTGCAGGGAGAGAGACAGGGGGAGTGCGACCCTGTTGGTCCTCCTGGACCTCTCAGCGGCTTTCGATACCATCAACCATGGTATCCTTCTGAATAGGCTAGCGGGACTGGGGCTTGGAGGCACTGCTTTGCAGTGGTTCCACTCCCATCTCAAAGGCCGATTCCAGAAAGTGGTGCTGGGGGACTATGGCTCTGCGCCATGGCAGCTCTGCCATGGAGTTCCACAGGGGTCCATTTTGTCCCCCATGCTATTTTCCATCTACATGAAACCGCTGGGAGAGGTCATTAGGAGGTGTGGGCTGCAGAATCATCAGTATGCTGATGATACCCAGCTCTACCTCTCTTTTTCAACCGATCGAGGTGAGGCAGTGGCTGTGCTGCACCGGTGCCTGGCCGAGGTAATGGGCTGGATGAGGGCCAATAAACTGAAGCTCAGTCCAGACAAGATGGAGTTCTTTTTGCTAGGTGGGTTGGACTTCGGGGAAGGGGACCTTGACCTTGTCTTGAACGGGGTGCACTCCCTCTAAAGGACAAGGTCCGTAGCTTGGGAGTGCTCCTCAATCTAGAGCTCTCGCTGGAAGCTCAAGTAACAGCGGTGGCGAGGAGTGCTTTCTTTCAGCTTCAGCTGATTCGTCAGCTGCGTCCCTACCTGGAGAATGACTGCCTGGCAACAGTGACACACGCATTGGTAACTTCCCGACTAGACTCCTGTAACACGCTCTACGTGGGGCTGCCCTTGAAGACAGTCCAGATACTTCAGATGGTACAAAATAGAGCTGCCAGTTTGCTGACGGGGATGGGGCATTGTGCTCACATGACTCCAGTCCTCTGTCAGCTTCACTGGATCCCCATTGAAGTCCAGGCCCAATTCAAGGTGTTGGTTATCACCTATAAAGCCCTTAACGACTTGGGACCTGGTCACCTTAAGGAGCACTTACGTCCATACGTGCCCTCCCGCCCCCTGAGATCGGTGGCAGAGGCCCTTCTCTCGGAGCCCTCTGTGAAGGACATTAGGAGGGTGAGTACCCAGAGGAGGGCTTTCTCTGCGGTGGCGCCCAACTTATGGAACGTGCTACCCAGAGAGGTCCAACTGGCGCCGTCATTATTTGCTTATCGGCACCAGGCCAAGCCCTTTTTATTTAAACGTCATTTTAATTGTTGATTTTATTTATTGATTTAACAATTTTGGCCACAATGTCTCTGACTTTATATAATTGTATTAATGATACGTATTTATTTATGTTTGTAAGCCATCCTGAGGCTTCGGAGAATGGGGCGGCATGTAAGTTTGCTAAATAAATAAATAAATAAATAAATCAGTAATATTTAGCTGTGATCCAGATTAGGACACATTATGGGAAGGCCAACCCCCCTGGGGAGGACTATCTTGCTGGGGAGGCTGCAGAAAGAAAGGAAAACCAGCTCCGAGGTGGACCGTCTGCAGAAAGACAGTTTTCAGCACTGGATTTGCAAGAGTCAAGCAGGGCTGTCAGGGACAGGACCTTCTGGTGGGCTTCCACTCACCGAGCCACCGTAAGAGGCAGCTTGATGGGACCTGACGGCAGCAGCAAGGAACAGCAGATCACGAAAGGGCATCCGTATAGAGTTTGGTCTGCACTGCCTATGAGTCCCTTTAAGCTTCATTTATCCTAGGATCAGAACCTAAGTGTTGCCATATTTGGGGTTATTTAGGATAACAAATGCTAACTGGGCATTATGCAGTTGAGGTATACCTGGGCAGTACATAGACTGATTACGTCCCCACAGGGACGGCCGGGAACTGTGATTCGGAAATGTGGGATACGCCACACGGCAGTCTCAGCATCCTGCAGCGCTGCCGTGCAGACGTGCCCTGGAGCACCAGAAAGAATCGTCCACCCACCTCCATGGGATTCAAGTGCCTTTATCAGAGAGCCGCACTCTTCAACGATCTTGTCCTCTATGGTCCTCTTGCCCATGCCGTAGTTTCGTAGTGTGGTTAGTGCAAACCGCCGCATCACTTTCCAGTTCTCGCCGTGCGAAAAAATAATTCCTAAAGAAGTGTGGTGAGGACCACATTTCAAATCAGCTTGATAATCAGCCCTCCTCCATAATGAGCAGAATGTGTTACAAAGGCGATCTCTTTACTGCAGATAATTTTTGGGTGGCGGGGAATAGAAGGGCCTCGCCGTGACGTGTGCACAGGGATATTGCGTTTATGGTCCCAGGTGTGGGTTCTGCTGTTTGGCAGCCCTGAATACCATGGTCTCCTTCTGGCTTGCCTGGCCACAATAGAATTGTGAGGCACTGTCTTGTGCTGGTGGCATCTTTCCCAGCGGATCATTGCCAAGAAGGGGCGCTTGGCTCAAGGAGTCTCAAGACAGCTTCCCTGCTGCTCAACATCTACATGGGACCACTGGGATAGAGCCCTTGGATTACAGAGCAGCTATCAGAGATCTCAATCTGCATTTGAAGGCCCATAATCTAAAGAAAGGGTGGGAGAATCAAAAGTTTTTTAAGCTCACCTAAATCAGCTAGTTCAAATAGGAAAAGCGTAGGCAGTCCTTGAGTTACGATTGTCTGAGTTAAGAACAAACCTTATGAATGAACTGCCTTAAAGCCTACTAATATTTTAAAAATTATTGCGGAAAAGTATGATCACTGCAGAGAGAAAGGAAGTGAAAGGGGAGAGAGGGCCGTCCTGTCCCACCCATCCTGAGAAGGAAACCCCTTGGGCATGTCCTTGCTGCAAGAGGGAGGCCCAGGTGAGTGGATTGGTGGTGGTGGGGAGCTTGACATACT